TGCCAACTGTTGTTCAAAAGATGCAGTAAATAATTGTTCAGGAATTTAGCAATATATTGGGGGCACAGTAAATCCTGCTTTCAGCAGGAGCCACCAGGGACAGCACCACTCGCTTTGGCCAGCGGAAGTGTCTTGTCCTCTTCTAGGGTAAGGATTCCTCTGCATCTGAGGATACCTTACATGACAGTAGTGTGCCCTACACATCTCAGATGATGTGAGCAATATCCTGCCTATGTGACAACACTTGACCAAGGGGTAGGATATATGTGTATGGGCAGGCTATATCTTTAAAAGTAGCAAGCTGAAATAATACATAAAATAACAGGACTCTAACTGCAGCCTATCATTAGTTAATGTAACTGTTGAAAACAGGACTTTAGGTCAGCAAAATCTTCCTGTGAAGGCAAAAATATTCATTGCTTGGACAAAAACTAAAACTGGAGTGCAAGCAATCATTCATATTATGGGCATGTTGGGTATAAATTTAACATGTTTTATGGCAGAGATTTGTAGCATTTTTAGCTAGTATTGTTTAGATACAAGTGTCTGCTATCCCTGAACATCATATTGACATCATTATCATATTGACACATTTTAATATTGGAGTGAAAGATGAGCAAAGCAGGCCTGGAGTTTAACAGCACGACATTTAAAAATTTGTTCTTATCTGTTAGAGAACAAAAGAAAGCTATGCACCATGTACATATCTAGAATAACTTAGATTGTTATATTTATAATCTCATTAAAAGGAGACACCACTAGTTCTACAGCATTGTTTTTTTCTAGAACTTAAATGTTCAAATGATTATATTTTTCCACTGTTTTATTATAGTTTGTTAATTATTATTAATTCCTCAGCATATACATTTCCATACTGACACTACTGCCTCAGAGGTCTAACTTATGCAAAATCTGATGAATTTGCCTGAGTGGAACATGTTTTAATACAGATATCCATTCAGCAATAGACAACTTGACAGTAAAAATACAGTACAGTTATGATTACCAGTTTATTTGAAATCAAAAACAAACAAAAAAATGCAAGCAAAAAAAAAAAAGTGACTACAAGCAACTAATAAAATAAGAAGTCTAAAGTATTTTAAATGGCCCTAGGATATGGCTACCTGTTTTAAGTTCTGTATTTTTGTTTCTTTTGCAAGATTTGTAATTTCTCAGATAATAAAAAAACTCCACCCCATACCAGAAATTTTATGAATTCCTGTTTATTGTATGTGAAAAACTTGTTTATCTAATGAGTGTAAGAGTCAGAAGATCATCATTGTCTCAACATTGTCATCAGGGACATGGACAGTGAGGTACCAGACAGTGGCCTGTTTGGAACAGAGTTGCCAATCCCAAGAGTGTAATGTGGTGCCAAGGCTCCTGAATGCATAACTGTGTGGCACAGCGAGTGCTGTGCTGTTCTCCTGAGCACTGACCTGTGTGGTGCAGGGAGTGCTGGGTTGTTCTTTGTTGCCTGAGCCATGCAGTACAAAGAGTGCTCTGCTATTGTTCGGTACCTGGGCCCAGCCAGAGCTGTTAGAGATAATCGCATAGCCACTGTCAAAAAAGATTGATTGCAACTGTTGCCATGACATCATGAACTTCAGATGAACTTTGCCTCATTATAATACCAAAACACCCCTCCTGGTTGAAGGCTACCTGCCTCCAAGACTGACCACGCTTTGGATACTCCCCCTGCACATGCATGATGGCCTTGCTCGAGAAGGGCAGAGATATGATAATTGAATTCTGAGAAGGGTGGAGACCCCTGTGGCAGAGGTGGAGCAAGGTGTGCTACTGAGCATAAAAGATGACTTCTGGACAACGAAAATTGGAAGCTTCCCCACTAAGGATCATGACTATCAACAACATAATATCAGCTGGACCCGGGACCATTAGGATATCTTAAGATCAGCGTGGTATCTGTAACCTCACTCCCTCCTCTCTATAAACTGTACTTTACTTTTCTCCTTTCTTTCACCCATCTCTAACTATCATGTGCTGCTTCACAGGCAACACAGTAAAGTTTTATTGTTTGATGACTGCTATCCCTTTTGGTGTTGGTCACCTTAATTTTGCACTTCTGAGATTGTAGCAAATGAACCATCACAAGTCCACCAAGTGGACCATGACAGTGAGGGGTGTAGAGGGAAATTTACAACTATAAAATAACATTAATGATGAAACTTAAAAGTCTTACATTTGCCTTTGAAGTCTAACAGTCTTGTTCTGTGGCTAATACATGAATGAAGATAAACTCAGTTATGGAAAGAAAAGAAAGGAATTGAGCTGTTTAATATTCTTATACAGTTAATTTGAAGTTGTGATAATTCTTTATACACTGTGTTTTTATTACTTTCATACTGACAAGGTTTAGAACACCCTCAGTATTTGAGTTTAAACATATTATGATATTTTTTAGAGATTGCTTGTTACATTTCTCCTTGTATTTTAATGATCACCAAATTTGGAGCAATGAGATAAGTGTCATTGTTCTCAGACACAGAATCTCAATCAGCTTTAGTTTTAATTCCTTGGTATAAGTGAGAAACCAAATGGTCATCTAGTGCATATTTCACCAGATAAAATCTGTCAGGGCTTAGAAGGTGATCTTGGTTTCCCCTCTGCATCCTTGTTCTGGTGGTTGAATTTGCGCTGAATATTAGTGGTTCAGAACAGGTTATGGCATAGAGTAGAATGGAGAAGCAAAGCACTCTGTGTAATCTTGTGGATTTAACTTTATGTCCTACATCTTATTGTAAGGAGATGTACTCAGACCTCCTTTTCCCTATGTTTTACCTTCCATATAATGTGCTTCTATGTAAAAGCAAGAACTCTGAAATAAGAGATTTCGTGGGTTTTTTATTTAAATCTGACTTTGTAAAGTTGTTCATACCTTTAGCTTTATAGCACTCGTGGTGCTTGGTACAGAGAAGATCACAAACTCTTCTTTTAAGGGGCATCAAACATTAACACAGAGGTTACACTCAAACCCACTTATTTGAATACTAACCCATGAAAGTTGAAGACTTCACAGTTGCCCATTGAACAGAAGGCTTGTAAAGACATGAAAATGTGAAACTTTTTCCTGAGCAAGTGTTAAGCCTTCACCTTAAATTCAAGAGGTAATAACATAAGCAAATACATTACCATCATCCAGATTAAAACAAGTTCATATATGCATGGTTTTCCTGGCAGTTCATAAATTTTCCTTACTACCCTGCAACTTCTGGAAACAAAATAAATTAAGAAAAATATTATTGAAAAAATACTCCTCAGGCAGAGCTTTATTCTTTATTCAAAAGTCAAACTACTTTTAAGTATTTGTCCTCCTAACTAGTAAGAAGAAAGGGGAAATTGTCATCCTGGAACAGGACTTATATGGGATGTGATGCACTAAATCTAGTTGAGCATCAATTAAAGTCAAGTGAAAATTAATTTTGCAGAAGGTATTCTTCCATAATTTTAGTGAGGCTAGATGAAACAGATATTATGAAGAGATGTGGAGACAAAAGCAAAAGTAGAATTTTGGGGGATCAAGAACTGTAATTATTACAGCATTTGGAGACAAGGATTCAGTCTTGTTTATTGTGCATGACAGTGAACATTAACAACAGGATGCCTCCACTATTTTAATTTTTAATTGTTCCTCCTTATGTTTTATTTATCACAGGAGAGGCCAGCAGAGGCTTAAATGATGTCTTGGCTACTCTTAGATAAAGCAAGCTTTATTGTAGGAGTTCATTGCATCTCAACTGAAGACATCACTGTCACTCTAACTTGTAAAGACATTATAAAATGTCTCAAAAAAAGCAATCTTCAAACCCTTCCTATATCCTGACCTATAATTCTATTATTCTTGTAAACCATCCTTTCATTTGAATGGAAGATAAAAACATGACAAGTTTGCCCAAATGCACTACAGAAACATATTAGATGGATGTTTTGTTTGCAGTTACAAGGAAAAGTTAATGACATTAAGTTCAAAAGTCTCACCAGGGCATAGAGAGAAGTTTTATATGTCTTATGAACTTGCTTTTGTATCAATATTTTTAGTTTAGAGTCAGAGCTAGAACATTTTGTATTAGACTAAAGGTCATTACCCTATATTATGATGTTTATGTACATGTCTGAGAACAGTCCAACTTTGCATTGCATGCATAATGGTTTCAAGTGGCATTAGCAAACATATACCACATTAAACAAAATTTTATATTAAGTGTATAAATTATATATCATTAAAGATGCACTCAGGATCAGGCTGATCATAGAGGACATGAGAACAAGGGAAGGAAGGCCTTGTTTCTTTCCCTATTATAACTGAATATGGTTTCAAGAATATTTTGACACACAGAGTTTAAAAAAGAAAAGACCAAGGTTGCAGCATCAGGCTAAACAAACTTCTGCCTGAGGTAGAGAAAAGATCCAAAACTAAGCCACAGTTAGAAGCTTTTTTTTTTTTTTTTTTCCTTTAATCTAGAGAAATTGTAATGATATTTGTTTACCCCAGGAGCCAGCGAAAATTGCCAGAGTGGAAAGAAGCACTGAAGAAAGGGACCATTCAGAAAGGCTGAATGATGGGAGATCACTTCCAAGTACTCACTTTGTCTCATTTAACTGGCAGGTCTGAGGATTCTTTTCTATTGTTAGAGGTACCTTGTACCCAGTTTGTATTTTTCATGGTTTTATAAATCAAAGATCTCAAGTTTGGGATCTGGTGTGTCTTTTGGTATGCTCACTTTGAAGTAAAAATCTGAACCAATTGAAATATGCAATAAACACATGAATATTGAGAAAAAAAAATCCCTAAAAGCATATTTCCAAAGCTTTTAAAAGGGCCACTGAGGTAAGTGCCTAAAGTTGGTCATTCCAGAAGCACATGGATCTGATACTTTTTAAATCTGAAACTTTACAAATCTGAACAAAGCAAGAAAGGAAGAGAAATATGTTTTTCTGTAATATAGGTATGTCATTCAATTTTTTGTCCTGTTGTGCACTTGTCTCTTACGTGTTAGATGTCTGGAACAGTGTCAGAGATATACAGTGACAAATTGGATTTGCAGCACTGTACAAACACTGAACACAATGTGTAGCTCAGAAGCGCTATCACTGACAGAGGATGCAGTTGAAAACTCCCAGTTAACATGAATACAAACAGTAGACCTTCATCTGTACAGCACCTGTAAATTGTTTAATTATTTTACAGTATCTCACTGCAGCTAATGGAGAGTTACAGCTGTATTTGTGGCTGCACATCCTTTTGGGATGGATGTAGAAATGTGGTACAGTCTGCAATTGCCTGATACCAGCAGCCAATTTGCCATCTTTGTTTCAGTCACAGAGTGTGATCTGCTCCTGGTGCATCTAAAATGTGACTCTAAGTGGACATGACAAATAGTGGACAATGTTTTTGGTAGTATCAGCACTCTAAGAGTTCAACTAACAGAGGCAGACAACAGACACAGCGGTTTGCGCAGCAGACTCTGGGTTCTACTTTGGGAACTTAGGGATCAAAGAAGCGTCTTCACCTATGTCTTTAACTTTAATGTTTGGCCTTGGCCTCCCAGAGCGCTGGGTTGCAGGGCTGCTACTGGGGAAGTGATAAGCTCCCAGCTGCCTTTGAACTTGTACAGTATTTACTGCTGTAACTGAATGCAAATAAGTCTGTGGGGCCCAATGGGATTCATCCCAGGGTACTGAAAGAGTGGGCTGATGATATTGTGAGACTTCACTCCTTTATTTATCAACGGTTTGGGGAATCTGGAGGGGTCCCAGTTGACTGGAATTTAGAAAATGCTATTCCAATTTTCAAGAAAGGTAAGAAAGAAGACCCTGGTAATTACAGGCCTGTTAGTCTCCCTTCAGTGTTGGAGAATGGCTTGCAGAGCAAGGCCATGGGTCTGTGCAGGAGCTGATTACAGCTATCTGAGGTAAACAAAGGAAAAAAAACAGGGTACAGTTATGCTAACAAAGGACTGTTATGTTAACAAAGAGAGAAACTGAGGTACACAATGGCCTTGAGTGTGATGGTAAAAACAACCTTGGGAAAGTAAGCAAGTCAGAAGAAGGAAGATGTGACATACCTGAAATGCCACAAGGGGCTGGGATATTATAATGTAGCCTTTTAGATGTATCCAATAGATTTGTGAGTAGTATGCATGATTATTGTAGAGTGCTTATATAAGGTGTGATTTCTTTCAATAAAGTTGAAGCTTGCTCTGTCATTCACACTGAATCAGCTGCTTGCTTCCTCCGTCCTCCACACTTCAGTGCCTGGTAAAATTATGGAGAAGGTTATTCTGGGGGTTATTGAAAAACAATGCAGTCATCGATCAAACAAGCATGGGTTCATGAAGGGAAGGTAGTGTCTTGCTAACTTACTATCCTTTTATGACAAGGTTCCCCACCTAGTGGACAAAGTGAAGGAAGAAATTGTGATTTTTGTATTTTAGAAAAGCTTCTGGATAAAATGTCGATCATACAGCTAGACATACACAATATGAGTGAAGTATTGACTGACAGGTTGGGCTTAGAGAGTTATAGTAGATGGGATAACATTTGTCTGTCAGCTAGTCAGTAGTGGTGTTCCCTAGGGTTCACTTTTAGGTCCAGTGATCTTCAATGTTTTTATCAAACCTGGACATAGGAGTTGATTGCACACTAAGAAGCTTTGCTGACAATACTAAATTAGGAGGACCTATTGATTCCCTAAAGGTAGAGAGGCCTTATGGAGAGATCTTCATAGATTAGAGCACTGGGCAGTCACCAACTGTATGAAATTTAACAAGGACAAATGCCAGATTCCACACCTGGTATTACATAATCCTGAATGTACATACAGATTGGGGAACAAGAAGCTGGAATTCTGCCCTGTAGAAATGTATCTGGGGGCTTTGATTAAAGGTAAACTCAGTATGAGCCAACGATGTTCCCTGGTTGCCAAAAGGGGCAATGTATCCTGGGGTGCATCACACTACAGCTAACCATTTGAAAGAAGTGGTTGTTCCATTGTGACTTCATCACTACAACTTCCCCATGGAGAGGAGCAGAGAAGAATGTGCTGATCTCTTCTGTCTGGTGTCCAGTCACAGGATGCAAGGGAATGGCTTAAAACTGTGACAGAGGAAGTTCAGATTGGATATTAGGAAAAAGTTGTTCACTGAGAGGATGGTCAAGCACTGAAACAAGATCCCCAGGCAAGTGGTCATGGCCCCAAGGCTGTTGGTGTGCAAGAAACATTTGGATGTATAGTTTATATTTTTAGATATATGGTTTAAATTTTAGATGCCTTGTGTGGAGTCAGGAGTTGGACTTGATGATCCTTGTGGGTCTCTTCCAACTCAGGATATTCTAGGATTTTATGATTCTATGATATTTTGGTAAAAGGATCTCTGAGAAATGCCTGGGAATCCTCTGAGAAACTTGAGAGTGGCTGCTGCTGACAAGTAAAGACAAGGTATGTGAAGACACAGAGATGTGAGCTTGTGGAAGCTCTAGCAGCTTCTGATTAGTGTGATTAACTGCCTCTGAGTCAGTGTGCCTGGAGCCTTTGTTGAAGTTGTTCACCGATAAGAGAGGGTGCAACACCGTTTTATCTGATGCTTGGGAAAGGCCTGTGTAAGAGCCAGTCCCAGAGTGCAGCCAGTGGAGAAGCACTTTGTACAGCAGGGTGCAAAGAAGAGGGTCCAGCTGAATCCAAAGAAGCATAAACAGTGTCAGGTATGGTAGTGACAGGTCAGTTCCCCCAGGAGGTGTTGGAGCAGCTGTACCTGCCAGAATAAAGGCTTTGACCAGATGGAGATTCAGGTGGTGGATGCAGCCCTCCAAGTCTCACCCTGCAGGGAGTGCCTGGGGCCTCTCTCTGACACCAGGAGCAATGACTTTCTGTCCTGCAGAAGAGGTGCAGAATGGAATGGAATAGATCAATTGGAAGGGACATACAGCAATCATCTAGTACACCTGTCTGACCACTTCAGGGCTGATCAAAAGTTAAAATGTTTTATTAAGGATATTGTCCAAATGCCTCTCAAACACTGACAGTCTTCGGGCATTGACCACCTCTCCAGGAAGCCTGTTCCAGTCTTTGACCATTCTCTCTGTAAATAAATACTTCCCAATGTCAAGCTAGAACTAGTCAGCCTGGAGATCATCCACCAATGTATATAAACTTTTAAAGTTAAGGTGTAAAGAAAATGGAACCAGGCTTTTTTCAGTAGTGCCCAGTGAAATGGTAAGAGTCAATGGGCACAAAGTGAAACACAGGATGTTCCCTCTGATCATCAGGAAACATGGAAACATGTTTTTATTGTGGCGGTGAGCAAACACTGCACAGTTTGCTCAGAGAGCTTGTGGAGTCTATCCCTGGAGATATTCAAAAGCATCTGGACATGGTCCTGCGCAACCAGCTCTAGGTGGCCCTGCTTGAGTGGGGAAAGCTGTAATAAGTGACCTCCAGGGGTCCAAAGCCATTTTGATTCCGTATCCTTCTTGTATGAGGTAATTAGTAATTTCCCAAAATTCTTCTTTCATTCCTTCATGCTTCCAAACATAACTCAGTTTAAATAAACCCTACGAGTTAAAACTACTTTAGATTCTTCTACCTTTACTGGGGATCTCCTAGTTTCCACAGTGTATGAATCCATGTGTCAAGCTCTTCAACTGAACTGCAAGTGTTTTCAGTTCAGCTAAGGATTAGACATTTCCAACCATTGTATTTAAATATAAGGAAGTTTTGCTATCATCATACTTATCCTAGCTCCTAAACTTGAAATTTCACTTCATGGTGAGTTGAAAGTAAAGATATACAAGCTTGATGAGCAAGATCCTTTCTTGGGTTGTGTGCAGGTTTAACCCCTGCCGGGATCGGAGAGCACGTTGCTGTTGCCCTTCCCCCACCCGCAGCCGGTCGGGCTGGAAGTTAAACATAGACTCCGGCTAAAATAAAAAGAAAATTTAATACAACAATGTGATAAAACAATCTGAATAGCAGCTGTGGCAATGATAACAAGAATAAACAGCAATAACAGTGAACAAGAAAAAGATATACAAAGAAATACTGAAAATGGGTCAAGGAACAAGCCCGCCACATGTATGGCAACCCACAAAACAGAAGCGAAAGTAAAAAGGCTCTGCCCCTGGACCTGACGTCATCATGGTATGAATAACAGGGCTGGAGATCCCTTCCCCCTCTCTCTCTGCTGGGGAAAAATTGACTCTATCCTAGCTGAACCAGGACATAATCCACCCCTTTTTTCTATACAATCTGCATCAAGTCCAACTGCCATTCAGCAGTTAACAATAACAGAACAACAATTAACAAAGGCACAGCATAATTTACGGCATGTTCTCACCCAGAATCAAGTCCCCCTGTGGTACGCATCGGACCTCTCCATTGTCCTGCATCACCCACCAGGTGCACCCAGATCCTTGAGCAAAAGCAGTCCTGTGCAGAGGTTTGCCTTTACCTTTGCCTGGCGCAGGACTAAACCAGATCATTTTTCCCAATATATTCCTCATGCGTATAACAGGGACTTTATCCTCATCTACAGCACGTGGAGGTTTTGACTGAGCTGGGCTAACTCGACTGGCAGATCCTCTTGTGTTGACTAGCCAGGTGGCCTTTGCGTGTCCCAGCCTTTGAAGGTCCCACCTCCCAATGCTTTCAATGTGGTTTTTAACAGTCCATTGTAGCACTTGATCTTCCCAGAGGCTGGTTTGTGGTAGGGGATATGGTAGACCCACTCGATGCCATGTTCTTCTGCCCAGGCATTTATGAGGTTGTTTCAGAAGTGGGTCCCATTGCATGACTCAATTCTCTCTTGGGTAACGTGTTGCCACAGGACTTGGGTTTCAAGGCCCAGGACGGTGTGGGGTGCTGGGTAAGCTTCCAGCCATCCAGTGGTTACTTCCACCATTGTGAGCACGTGGTGCTTTCTGTGACGGGTCTGTGGCAGTGTGATGTAGTTGATCTGCCAGGCCTCTCCATATCTATATTTCAGCCATCGCTCTCCATTTCGCTGGGGCTTCACCGGCTTGTATTTGACTGCAGCACGTCTCACATCCGTGGATGATCTCTGCAATGGTGTCAATAGAAAGGTCCACCCCTTGAACTCGAGCCCACCTGTATGTTGCATCCCTACCTTGGTGGCATGAGGTCTTGTGGGCCCACCAGGCTATGAACAGTTCACCTTTGAGCTGCCACTCCAAGTCCACCTGAGCTACTCCAATCTTAGCAGCTTGGTATGACTGCAGGTAGTGTCGATGTTCATGAGTGGCCCGACCCTTTGGTACATGGGCATCCACATGGCGCACCTTCACAACGAGGTTTTCCACACGGGCTGCAATATCCTGCCATACTTCAGCAGCCCAGAGAGTCTTACCCTTACATTGCCAGTTGTTCTGCTTCCATTTCTGCAGCAATTTCCACAGGGTATTCGCCACTGCCCACGAGTCAGTGTAGCGGTAGAGCCTTGGCCACTTTTCCCGCTCAGCAATGTCCAAGGCAAGCTGAACGGCTTACGCCTCTGCAAATTGGCTTGATTCACCCTGTCCCTCAGCAGCTTCAGTGACCCGTCATGTGGGAATCCATACAGCAACCTTCCATCATTGATGTTTTCCCACAATGAGACAAGACCCATCAGTGAACAGGGCATATCACTTCTCCTCATCTGGCAGCTTGTTATATGGTGGGGCCTCCTTAGCACGTGTCACCTCCTGTTCTGGTGACATCCCGGAATCTTTGCTCTCTGGCCAGTTCATAATCACCTCTTGTATCCCTGGGTGGCTGGGGTTCCCTATTCGAGCCCGTTGTGTTATCAACGCAACCCATTTACTCCATGTGGCATCGGTTGCATGATGCATGGAGGAGGCCTTTCCTTTGAACATCCACCCCAGCACCGGCAGTTGGGGTGCCAGGAGCAGCTGTGTTTCAGTGCCGACCACTTCTGAGGCAGCCCAAACTCCTTCGTACGCTGCCAGTATCTCCTTCTCAGTTTGTGTATAATTAGCTTCAGAACCTTTGTATCCCCGGCTCCAAAAGCCTAGCAGTCGGCCTCGGGTTTTGCCATGTTGTCTCTGCTAGAGGCTCCAGG